CAATTCGACAACTAAACACACACAAGTGTAAACCGGCCTTTACCTACTTGTTTACAAAAAGTAAGTTTTTTCAAAACTACTTTAAGCGTGTTTAGGATAAACATTTTTCTAAGTAGAACTGTTACGTCACGGCCGAATTCGGGTCGACATTTGTCATCTCACAAGACACAAGACAAGAAAATAATCTTTCAAGTAACCTTGCTTTCAAGATTAGGTCTGTCGTTTGTAATTTTCAATATGGCGCCGAGGGCATGACAAACTTGATGACTGAGAATATCCTTGCCGAGAAGGTAGGTATTTTTACATTTAATTCCAATTATTGTTTGAGATTGTGATTGCAATTTTCAATAGTTTTGAGCCCTAAGATCATCAAAAATTCTAAAGCTCAAATAAGACACAGATTGCACTTCAAATACAAATGACAATCCCGCTAAGTTTAAGAAGAAGAAAATTATTGTAAATTATGGATGATTTTTACGAACAGTATTTAGTCGGTCGATAACGTAAATTCTGCGAAAAAATTCATTACTGAAACGTTGCATAATTTTCCGTTTTAACGTATCAATTACACGACGAACATTTAAAATTCCATGTAAAATTTACCCGAAAAAATTAAAATATGTGTTGTATGCCCCTATGCAATCTTGATACAAGCGCCCGTTTTTTTTTTAATACATCCTCTAACATGTAGGTTTTAGCTTCGTGTTTTAGTTTTTTATCGATTAAAAGCGAAAAATAATATTTTTTACGGCCCGTCGGCACGCTACTACGGCGCTAATTAATGTTACGACAACAGTTTTTGGCGTTATCGTTTTTAATTACAGAGTATCGAGTGCCCCCCTTGAAGCAACACCCTTTTTTCTGTGTTTTTATAATTCAGAATATAATTTCTTGATTGAAATTGAATACGTTGAAAAATCGACTCGATTTACTTAATTTATCGACCAATTCGGAGTGCACAATAAAAGTTGCCAGGGGTGGTCAATGAGCCCTGCTAAACTGGCTTTATTGCCACTGTGTTACTTCTATTTCCACTCCGGCTTTTGTTATGTCCTCTATTGCGGCGGGGAAAAAAATGATTGTCGGGACATGATTTGCGGAATGTCACTTTTCTCTTAACAGTGTCTTAAATGGCCCTTGCGGAGGGCTGGATTTTATTTTGAAGGAGGCGCACGTGAGTCGTGACACCGATATTTTATGCAACAGATATTTTTTGTTCGTTGGGAATGTTGGGATTTATTAAATTCAATATAGAAATGTTTCAATACGACACTGGAATAACTGTCAAAATCGACTGTCAATAAATTCCAAAGGCTACTTTGATGGTGTGTACTTCTTCTTTTTTTGTTTGACAAAATATTATGTTTCGATGAAGGTTTCTAAAGTTGATAGGTTGTCTGGTAATGGGTATCTTGATGACGTCATCTGTAGTGCCATAATGAAGATTTGAATTATGTTGAGACACCCCAGATGACGTCATAAAAGTTATCTCAAACAACCTTGAGTTACGACATGAAAATGTTTCGGTATGACACTGGAATAAGTGTACTATAACTGTCAAAATTAACTGTTAACAAATTTCAACGCCTACTTTGATGGTGTTGTTCTTTTTTTTTTGAGAAAATATTAGGTTTTGATACGACACTATTTTAACTGTCTAAATTGACTGTCAATAAATTCCAAAGCCTACTTTGATGATGTGTAATTCTCCTTTTTTTTTTTGAGCGTAGCAAATTTCTGTATTAATTAAGTTTTATTCTTGAATTTTATATCAAATAAAGTTTCGATACGTCATTGTTCTATACTTGTCAATAAATTCCTAAGGATGGGTTTCTCAATAGTGAGTCACCTCCGGGTTGGTTTTAACTCCAGGGTAAACGTGCCCAGTTGCAATGTTAACTCTAGAGTTGTGCTTAACCCGGAGGTGATTTGCTATTGAGAAACCAGCCCAAAGCCTACTTTGATGGTCTGTATTTTTGTACGCAACAGAATTCTATTAAGATCTATTAAATTCTATATGGAAAATATTTGTTTTCGATACATACGTCACTGTTTTACCTGTCTAAATCGACTGGCAGTAAATTCCAAAGCCTACTTTGATGATGTGTAATTCTTCTTTTTTTTTAAACTTAGCGTGCGTACGATTTGTCTGAACCGGTTAATTAGCGTAAGTGCGTTATTTGCAGTTATTATTCAGGTGATCGCAGATTAGAAAAGTGTTCAAATTTCGGTTGAGTATAGAAATTTGGAAACCATCTAAACTACACCGGGAATATGGAACGCTAAACGGTACGAATGGTGTAAAAAGTGCGACATTAATGACGAGTCAGGGTAAAAAGTGTCAGTAGTTGGACTTATCGTAATACGCACCAATTATATTCAGATATTTTAGTTCCTATTGGGGCCGGTTTCTTAATAGCAAGTCACCCCCTGGTTAAGCCTAACTCCAGAGTAAACATTGTAACTGGACACGTTTACCCTGGAGTTAAAACCAATCCGGTGGAGCTTCTAGAAAACTATAAAAATTGATAATTATTTCTTATTGTATCATAGGTAAAAATCTGAAATAATAGAGGGCAGCACCGTTCAGTTAGACAGGGACTTCTCTATAGAAGGCTGTTCATCGAAAGGAGGCATTTTTAAGTAAGTTCGGCATGCTCCAAAGAGATGGCGCCACCAGTTACCAAAGAAAATTAGAGATGGATTTTTTTTTACAAAAAATACAATCGATATTCAACGATTAATCAATCAATGGCTGAGCTCGGACAAATAGCTCAAAAAACAAAAAGATGAAAATTTTGACAGCTGTCACGTATTCAACTTATATAAAATCAATTTGAACACGTGTAGTACCATTGACGACGTCATTAAATACGTCGTCAGCTGTTTGCGCCAACGGTCGTAGTTCAAAATATACTTTTAGGATAAAAAATATTATTTAAATTTGAATAAACACAATAAGCAAAGAGAAAGATGCAAACAAGATATAAAAAAGCGTTGTTTTAAAATGTCAATAATTACTAAATAATAATAATAAATGTACTAAAACCAAGATGCATAAAGCAAAAGCCCGTAGAATCATAACCTGCGGTGCAAACACCCTACATCAAGGCGAGAAACGACACGCTGGGTACGTCATCACTGGTTCTTTGGCGTGGTGGAGGGCTTCAGATTTTATCTACACAGGCCTTATGCGGATAAGTCATCCTGTAATGTGAATATCCTTGGTAATGTTCGAACACGCCATAGTCAATTTTAAGCGATTGACCAGTCGGACATCTATCAGATAAGCAATACATTTAACGTTAGTTAAGACAAATTGGTTGATAAATGACGCTTAATTAACGGATTATCTGTCAAGATGACCAATCAGTATAAGTATAAAAAAAAAATTACTATCATTAGTTGTATTCCTTTCAAGTGTTTGAAACACTCGAGCTACTCGCTCCGGTGTTTAGTAGTCCCCGATTTGCAGGGAATAGATGCGTGGTGCAACAAAAACTTTTCGAAAGGAATAAGCGCGTGAAGCCCCAGAGCTGTTCCGGGGCTCCTCCTAGGTGTGAAAGGAATACAACTATTCTGTCAACATTAAAGACAAAAGTTACTGAATAAATTACATTTAAAATTTAAAATTGCCGCCTATTACGAATGTTTTTGAGAAGAAAAGCCATCAACTTTAGCTTGTATTGGGCCAAGTTCAGAAATAACGCATAGCTAGGGTGCGACTGCGATTTTATGGGTGTACCTAAATTGACAATTGGCCATTGGGCCCATAGCACCGTCTAGCATTTTTGAACAGCTAGGGCGTTGCACCGGTGTCACACTCACACTGGGTGTCATTCCTGAACTCGCCCTTGTGTTGTAATGTTAACAGCCCGCTAGTAATTTTTGTTTTCTTCTTTTGGCAACTATGTTCGCGCACCGCAATATGGCGTCCAAACAAAAGGTCAATTGGCTCATATGTCATATCGTATGTATGAGAATAACCGATTTAAAGCGGACGACCGTTCTTAACCAGTAATTACTTTTCAAGTTAATCCGATTTTGGTTAAACGGTTTTATCAATGACGTCACTAACTAGCCCTTTGCATCGTCATCGTTTGCCATTTCTATGACCGGTATTCACCCACCTCAAGAGCCGCTTTCGGATGCTCCCAGAACACTTCACACCTGTCAGTGACCTGTCATACTCCATACGTTTTGCACTCTCGAACGCTTTTAAAAAACCGAACGGGTCAAACTGAAGCTGGAGTACTTCGGAGTAACTCGGGAGCGCTCAAAGGGTGCGGCACCCGGAAGGTTGCTTGATAATTTTTATGACGTCATCTGAATGCCTAAACATCAAGAACACTTAACCTAATAAAGCCAGGGACACATCTATCATACATTCTTCCGATCCGACTCCGATCATACAATCAAGGTCCTTATTCTTGGAACAGGGGAGCAGCGGAACACTCGTTCTCCTGGGAACGCTGCCTGTTGTCCAAGAATAAGGACCCTCATTGTATGATCGGAGTCGGATCGGAAGGATGCATGATAGATGTATCCCGGGCTTTAGGGCGGGTATTATAAAACTGCTTTGACAGTTAACTTGAAGTTAACTTTTTGAATTACATGTAATTCCAGAAGTTAACTTTAAGTTAACTCTCAAAGTAGTTTTATAATACCCGCCCTTAGACTGCTTATTGAGCTGAAAGTGTCTACCATGCCATGTCAGCCGCAGACCTCAACGTAGCGTAAAATGTATTATACGAGTTCACAACCTTTTAGGTCAAAAAAAAGAATTCCTAAACGTTAAATTCTTGTCAAGATCACCTCTTTTACCATGAGAACCCCCTGATGACGTCATCTGTGTGCTATTAGCAGACTAGAGCCCAGACCACCTATTATATTTACTGAAACTATCGATGTTTTCATTCCGCCATATCGATATTAATTTTACGACATTCCTACAAAGTGATTTGTCAATTACTGACGTTTGTTTGACAAAGGTTCATTGATAATTTGAAATAAAGTTTATTTGTTTACATTTTGTATAATTATTTTATGATTGATAAAAACTTAAAACCATCAAAAATACATTAAAAGATGAAACGAGGGAGCGAAAAAATGGACATAAACGAAGAGGACATGATTATAGGTAACCTAAATATAATATAACTGAAAATCAATCAAAATAACTGCTTTTTAAAAGGTTCAAAAAGGCGAAAAGAAGCAAACGAGCCGCTGGAATTTGGTTTCTCAGCCTCGGATTCAAATGTGGAAATGGGGCTTCAAAACAGTAAGTAAAAAAATTCAGTAATAGGGTTGTTCACCCTAGTTAAAGTCAGGTATATAGGTATTTTAAAAGTCTACATTGTATTTCACCTACATTTCTTAACAAGTAGGTACGCCATGATGAGGTACCAACACACACTGACCAATAGGATGTAAGCAAGCAAAGCGGCATTGCCAGATCCTCTTCTAAACTTCATATTGATATTTTTCAGTTTGGCCAGTATTAATTCTTACTACAAAAATGTGCCATTTATCTATAAAATAAATCCCTCAATTAATTTTATAATGACGTAATTAAAGTTTTCACACAATTCCCAGATCAATCAAAACATAACATGACAACCCTGTTGTGTTGTAAAATAAATATTATACATAACCTACCAAACAAAATGGCCGCATCAGGCAGTGTTGCCAGTAGTAGCAGCTTGGTACTAAATAATTTCATTGGTTTATTTATTTATTGTTAATAATCCTTATAAATCCTTATACCTATCCTATCCTATATTTTGTATATAACCGCATTATACTTACTGTTTTTTTATATTGTTTTCAAAAGAACTAGATAGAAGTATGTATTTCTTTTATTCAAAAGCAGTTTGGCAACAGCGCCGGGATTTGAACTCTTTCATTGGCTAGAACATGTATATACGTCACAAAAGTGCCCTTTTAAAAGTTGCTTTTTTTATAAATTAACAAAACAGTAAATTAACCTTTTCCTTTTTCAGCCTTTGTAGAACGTAATTCTAATCCAGTTGACTTTTCTTTATCAAATGCCAATTATTTAAGCGAGAAAACACTTCAGCAGGATCATGAAATGGAATTCGAAGATAACATTATACAAGTGACAGATGATTCCAAGTAGGTACAGTAAATGTTTTATGTTGAAGTTTTCACTGTTAGAGTGCACTTTTAAGATGAAAGACTTATAGGGACACCAACTTGCATCTGGCTGCATGTAATTTTTTAAAAAAACCTGGACAAGTTTACCATTTATATGAAAGACCTTGCGGACAAAAATACTTTAGCATGCTATCACCCCAAGTAAGAATTTTCGCTATTATTGAATAGGTATTTACGAGTTACAATTTTAAAGGATTGGGGCGATAAGGCGCCTCACAAATTCCTGGGAAGTTGGTTTCTGGAAAACAATCAAAGTTGGACGCCAGTGAATTGAAAAAAAATATATATACTATTGGACCAGGATGCAATCTAAGGAATAAGGGACATTTTAAAATTGATCTGGAAAAATTGAGAAATAGAGCAAAGAAAGTTGTTTGGTTTTGGTTCATGTGTCCTTATCACTCTTACATTATATTTCATAAGAAATATTTGATAATAATAAATTATCGAAAGAACGAGAAGCTTTTTATTGGTAGTCTAAAAAGAAATATCTTATTGAAAGTATCGATATTTTCTATATTGATATCGATATGAAAAAGATGAAAGAATATCGTATCGATAAATCACATATTCGAATCTTAACCCATCCCTACATCCTAATTGCGTAACTGTCAAATCAAATGGTATTTTCCTGTCATTTTTTTCTTAACCAAGAAATTTCCCATGAATGAAAATTAAATAAATTTCCCATTAAGTAATAAGAGTAGAAGGGGCCTCTTTTTTGAAACAACTATGCATTTAATAGTTTATTAATTTATTGAGATTTTCTGGACAATTTGAAAGACACATAAGATGGACTTGGATTCGGACGAGGAAAACGTTAACGAGGAGGATTTCTATAGTTTTTTGAATGTCCCTAAAGAGGTAAGAATTTGACCACCTAATTTTTATATAAATAACACCCATAACTTCAGTACTATTCAGGTTTATAAATATTGTGCAATTTTAAGAAAACTTTTTAATTTAAATAAATTTTTAAATTGAGGTGATCCTAGGTAAACAAACATAAATCTCTCTTTAAATAATATAGTGAAGTACTGCTATTTATCTAAAAAATAAGGGGTTGTGATTAGGGATAAAGATCACAAAATAGTTTGTCAGGTCATGTGATCATTAAAGACACCTTTGTGATCAGAGTAGTCTTTAAGAAGGAAAAATTTGCAAGTATTGTGAAAAAGTTGTAAAGAACTTTTTACAATACAACAATAACCAGAAAATGAAAGGATAGATAATACATTTATTTAGCTACGAAAGCATATAAAAACCATGTAGATAAGCACTAACAATCAATAGGTTAAGACTCTATAGTTCTTTTCACGTGGCTCTGGTTTAACTAACCGGGTTACAAAACGGTTAGAGAAATGACATACCGTTTTCTAACCTGGTTACGAAGTGACGTGATGGATACCTACCACTCGAATTTGAAGGGTATGTTGCGGTTTGTTAAACCGGAACCACATGAAAAGGGTTCTTGGGTTAAGACATATTCTCTTGTTCGAATCAATTCTCTGAATCTATGTAATGTTTGACAGTTCTGTATTTTTATGGAATCCAATCCATATGGCCATGGTCAAAGAATGAAATTCGCGCTAAGAATTTCATTTACCTTCATACAACCTTGACTTTTGGTTTTCATAAAACTGTTCTCTGTGTAATTTGTGGAGTTTTAAATTGCACACATGACAGATGTTTGTTGTTTGACCGTTGCCGCCATATTGAATTTATGTTTTGACAGGTCGTTGGATTGTCCTGTTTGCACAAGGATATCACAAACTACAAAGCAAAGGATTGTTGATTGGCCTAGCACTGTTGTTGACGTCATCAGATTTTCCGTCAGTTGTTTGCGCCAACGATCATAAGTTTAGAATATGAACTTTTGATAGAAAATATCATTATATTTTGGTTAATCCAATAGGCAAAGCTACAGTGACTCAATAGACCACAGTGACAATAATTATTATCCTATTTTTGATTGGTTCTTTGATTTTAATTTAAAAAAATTAGGCGGTGGAGGCGTGGCTTACTTCCAAGAATATTACATGATATTACACACTTAAGAATAGCCTATCCTCATAAAGCCTGTGTAGATCAAACCTCAAGCCCCCCCCCCCCCCCCACTTCCCCGAAGTACCAGTGATGACATTAAATGATATTTTTGATCAAAAATGTACATTCTTAACTACGACCACTGGAGCAAACAGGTAACGATACCGTAGTTGACGTCAGCAATGGGGCAACACCATATGACCGTGATTCTAAAAATCGAGGTCAATGAGCAATCCTGTAGTAGTGTGTAATATCGTTGGCTTACTTCTAAATTCCTATTTAATATTAGGAAAAATATGGCGGCAGGACCTCTATTGTCGATACTGCTCATTATTGTTTTTGGTGATCGTAGTTATATGGTGTAGCACCATTGCCGACGTCATTATCTAAGTCGTCAGCTGTTCGCACTGTAGTAAAACCAAGTATGCATAAAGCAAAAGCCCGCGGAATCATAAGGAGCAAACACCCTACGTCACAACTGAGTTGCGTTTACAAATAGTACTCTCGGTGTGGGAGTGACCCTAGCTAGAGTAACTCTAAACCGTTTATAAAGTCTGTTTTTTTTTTAAAGATAATTCCCCAAGTCAAAAATTTAGTAACTATGTTGGCAACACAAGCTTTTTCTACATAAAAAATTTGAAAGATTGACAATTTTACATTGTATTGCCAACATAATGTCATTTTGACTTTTATCTTTAAAAAAAAAAAACAGATTTTATTCATTCAGGGACTAGGTTGAAAAACGCCCCGCAATTTTTACCGCGTTTGACGTTGACATTACAGAGTTCTCGTGTTATCCAAATTTCAAATACCGTAACGCTATTTGACAAGTATGACAGTTTTTACGGTATTAGCCATTAACGGGACTTAGCGGATGCCTTACTGTAACGCTATTCTATGTCAAAATTAGTTTACGCTCCATTTAGGTCTGCAAGAACAGCAATTTCTAATAATTCCTCCATAAAAAACACCAAGGGAAAATTGATGAAACTCAGGAATCTTTAGGATAAATAAAAGTTAGAAAACAAGCAAAAAAAGTTGGGTTAGATCACTCAACTCAGCTGTCAAAATGTAAACAAAATAAGGGATTAGAGGATTTTTTGCGTTTTCGTTTCCGAGAACTATAAAATACCATGTAAAATACCGTATTGTTAGCGGTACCGTATTAGCGTAGCGTCTGAGACACTAGAACTTTCTATTTACCGCAACGCAACGCCCCATACGTTCACCTAGTGTGCACTCCAAGTGATGACGTCAGAACACTCTGACAAACAACTACTCTACCTTCACACTCCATTTGTAAACGCACTCTGGTGACTTTAGAATTCGGCAAATCATAAGGCCAGTTTACATTTTGTCAACTGCAAGTGTTTAGTGTCAATTGTTAATTTGACATTTTGAGTGTTACTAAACAGAAAAATGGAACAAGATTCGATTTACTTGCACTTGTAGCTTGCACTGGCCAAGGTTATCCCTAACTCATGGATTGACCCTCTATTAATAAACCGGTCCTTAGTACATTTTTACCCTTTTTACATCTCGTTTGCATCTTTCGCTTTGCCTATTATGTTAATCTAAATTAAATGATATTTTTCATCATTAATGTATATTTTTAACTACAGCAGCTGGAGCATTTACAGCTAACGACACCGTTGATGACGTCGACAACGGTGCAACACCATATGTCAATGACTAATAAAATCCAGGCCGATGAGCAATCCTGTAGTTGTGTGTAATATCCTCGGCTTACCGTCTACATTCCTATTTAAAATAAGGAAGAATATGACGGCAGGACCTCTATTGTTGATACCAAGGTTTCTACACTCTACTAAGTATGCACAATCTACCGATTTTGATCTTAGGCAGCGTGACGTCACAAACGGAATCGTGACACGTCCGCTAGTGTTTTCATGACGTTTATGAATATTTTATGTACTTAGCTTTTTTTTTACTATGTTTTTCGAAAATAAAATAGTGACTTGTTTTGAGATTGTATTGCAAATAAACATACAAAAAATTACATTTATTAATAATTTATACGAAAGGACGAGACGCTGATGTCTTGTCAGGTGTGACGTCAAAAACGGATGGAGATTATGGGCTTTTAAAATCGTCAATGTTACATGCGCATTTTCACTGATCTATTGCTGTCCTTGTCATTTGAGAGCAGCAAAACAAGGATAGGTTGCCCATCAGGAGAAATACGCAGAAGCAATTGCTGAATTTAAAAATTTGCCCAACATGTGGATACCAAGTAGAGTTCAAACTCATGACGTCACAAGACGAACTACGGTTCGTCCTTGGATGTACTACATTCGTCGGATAAATTCGGTTTATCCTTCAAAAAATGGTTACATGTTTACAGCTGATTTTTATATTGTGACGTCATAGTATATCAGCTATGATTGCTGAAATGTATCCCAAATAAATACTAACATACTACTGGGTTAAAACTAGCGCTAAAATATGCCTGTTTCCTATAGGTGTTTTCTGGATACTTTCAATTCCCAAACATTGGTTTTGTGCACGTAACGTCACAAATTGACACTGGAGGTAAAACAATCTAACCTTATCTTATTTGTTTACATGGAGTTGAAGTGTCGTACTTTCGTTTTTTGACTTATTTTTCGGTGTCAAAACAATCTTCATCCCCCCCCTCCCCTGGGAAACCCAGAGGGGGCAGTCAAAGTTTTGACTTTCGACCCCTGTACAGCCCAAACAGGTGGCGGGGGGAAAATAAAATTTTGAGGGGAAGTAGAGAAAAAGTTCCTCTATCGAATAGGGGAGGAAAAACTTTGGAGTGGGAGAAAAACATAAAAAACGCAATATCTCGAGAACGGACCCCCTTTGCGACCTTAAAATGACGACCCGATATGATGTATTTAGTCCCCCCATCGATGGGGGGAATTAATTTTCGAAAATTCGGCTAGGCCGAACCTTTGGTTCGATCGAGTTGAAATTTGGTTTATTCAATTGTGGAACGAGAGTTCTATTAAAAAAAAAATACGAGAAACTTCTATCTTGGAAGCAAAGCCCCCTGGAGGGCCCCTAAAAATTTTTATGGGGTCGATTCGGACGAAATTTGGAATGTAGGTAAAAGGGATCTGAAAAAGTTGAAATTTCAAGTTTCAGCCCTCTACGACTTATCGGAAAGGTTTTAGTCCCTATCCCCCTAATTTTGAAAAGGAGCGTGTAATGAGGTATACGCGCCCTGCATTTATGTTTCCGAATTTTGAAAAATCAAAATTTTCATCGGATAGAGGAGTAAAAAATACGTCGAAAATGTCTCTAGACGTTTTTTGTTCCGACGCTTCCTAAGCCCGCAAAAAAATAGAAAAGATTTTTATTTTGGAAAATTTCGGGGACCTGACACGGCGTCACTTTTTCGCTTATTACTTTGGTGATTTCGAACCGATTATCTCGAATCTGGTTTCTTTTGAAAGCGAATTAAATTACCTACAAATTGTTATTGATATTCCAGGTTATTTCCGTTTCCGAGATATAAGTCGTCTAAGTTGAAATATCTCTGAAAATGTATTGAAAGATTTGAAGTTGATTTTCTCAAAAACGATGCCCTATGGAGGGGTACTTCTATAAGGCTTTTTTGTAGTTTTCAATTAGATCTACAAGTTTTGTATTTAAGGTTTTTTTCCCGGACTTTTCGTTTTCTGGCTGGGATGGTTTGAAATTTAAAAACATAAAAAATAAAGGTTGTTTTGGATTTTTTTTTGCCACGACGACCTAAGGGGGATTCAAAATATTTCCTAATCATGAAGTTCCTCCATTAGCCCGAAGGGTGTTGTGTGCACCATAATGCTCCTCCATCAGCCTACGCCGGAAGAGCGTTGTATGCACCATGAAGCTCCTCCATTAGCCCGAAGGGCGTTGTGTGCACTATGACGCTTCTCCATTAGCCCGAAAAGCCTACGCCCGAAGGTATGCACCATGAAGCTCCTCCATTAGTCCGAAGGGCGTTCTGTGCACCATGATGCTCCTCCATTAGCCCACGCCCGAAGGGCGTTGTATGCACCATGAAGCTCCTCCATTAGCCCGAAGGGCGTTGTGTGCACTATGACGCTTCTCCATTAGCCGATACTCTTGTAACGTCACTATACAGGGTGAGTTGCTAAGCGCGCGGTGGTCCATATCTCTTATACTAACGGAGATCAGAGAAAAAACTAAATACAAAACTTGTAGATAAACTTGAGTACTACATCCTTAAATTATTTTCCAGTATACAGGGTGGCCCAATAACTAGTAGTGACACAAAGTTATGTTTTTTTAAATGACTCACCATGTATATTATGACATTTTTGGATTCTGCGGAAAATTCTAGATATATTTCATGTATAATGTCATATACCTATCTTTAACTGTTTCGGAAATATTGACAGTTGAAAACTAACTTTTTTGCATTTTTGACAGACTGTAAAACCTGAGCGGTTAATTTTACAAGAAAATGGATTTTACATTCCTATCTTAGTTTTTCATAAACTAGGTATTATTTGGCACCAATTTTGAATTTAATCCATGATTAAAAATTCCGCCTAAATTATTAATCTTCGGTTAAATTCAAAGTTGGTGTCAAATAATAGTTTAAGAAAATCTAAGATAGGAATGTAAAATCCGTTTTTCTCTAAAATTAACCGTTTAGGTTTCACGGTCTGTCAAAGATGCAAAAAAGTCGATTTTCAACTGTCAATATTTCCGAAACAGTTGAAGATAGGTATGACATTATACATGAAATATGTCTAGAATTTTTCGTAGAATCTAGAAACGTTATAATATACAGGGAGTTATTTAAAAAAACATAACTTTGTGTCACTACTAGTAATTGGGCCACCCTGTATACGGGAAAATAATTTAGGAATGTAGTACTCATGTTTATCTACAAGTTTTGTATTTAGTTTTTCTCCGATCTCAGTTAATATAGGAGATATGGACCACCGCGCGCTTAGTAACTCACCCTGTATATGCTCGTTTCCCTTCGTCTTTACCCCGACTCATACGTTAAGTCTAAAAGTTGTATGAAGGGAAGGGGAGATAGTTTTTAAGAAATTTCACTTCTACCATGTGTAAGGTACTGTTACATTTTTTTAAAATTAGTTCCCAAAGAGAGAAGTTTTTTAACCAAAATTTGTTAATGTACAGTAAGAGCGTTTTCTGATTGTTGTTTAGTGTAGTAATCGAGGAAATAATCTCTTTTGTAGTTGTTAATACCATTTTCCAGTATAGTATATTTTAGATTATTACGTCTAAGTGTAACTCCTATGATGCCTGATGATGGGATGTAAAACTGTTCAATTCCGAAACTAGTAGCTTAAAAATTAAAGAGGATTATAAGAATCAAGACTTTTTGCCTCATTTTCGTCCTAAGCTTCTATTTCTTTTAATATCTACATTCTAGGTCCTAGGTGCAAAAGCATGATGAACTTAAGTTTACATTGCCTGGGGCTCTTAGGAGTCCTAGGTAATTATATCTTTGGAAAAAATATTCGTTTTGGACTGGATCCATATACAGTCAAGTTTGTTACATATTTGTCAAAGAAATTAATACATAATTTGTAGACAAAGCCCTGAGATTAATACATGCATGAACATGCTTTTTTATTGTAAAAATTATAATTTCAGGCTACTAAAGATGAAATCAACAACGCTTACAGACGTCTCAGTCGCGTGTACCATCCGGACAAACATCTGGACCCTGCACTCAAAGCCAAAGCCGAAATTATGTTCAACAAAACCAAAAAGGCCTACGAGGTCCTCTCGGATCCACATCAACGTGCCATTTATGACTCCTTAGGCAAAAAAGGCCTGGAAACCGAAGGCTGGGAAATCGTGCAAAGGACCAAAACCCCTGCAGAAATCAGGGCGGAATATGAACAACTGGCCGAAGAAAGAGCTGAGAGGCGTAAAAAACAAGCCACCAATCCTTCAGGCAATGTTACTATAGCCATTAATGCTACGGATTTGTTTAATCCGTACGAAAATGATCTTTTTGAGGACGAATACGATAGTGGTCTTTTAAGTAAATTTCCTAATATTGAAGTATCTTCCATGCAGTTTACACAAGGGGTTGATTTCCCTTTGACTCAAAAAGACACTTGCACCCTTTCTGGGCAATTGCAAACACAAAATGGTACTGGAGGCGGAGGTGTCAATTTAAGTTGGAGGCATTTATTTTCGCATAAAGGCTGGGCCGAAGTGGAAATGACCGCTGGCAGCGGACCTGCAATTTCTTTGAAAGGTTTCAGGACTTTGACCAGGAGGTTTTTTTGGAACGGTGGCACAATTCTACAGTTTACTCCAGAAGGACTCAGACCAGGAATTATGTCAAGTAAGAAATTTTGATTTGTGTTCCAAGGTGTAATTTTTGTTGTTTTAGCATTGGCGATGCAAATTGATAAACATTCTATTGGTTATGTATCTTATCATGGTGGGGTAAGATCCATGTTTTCGACGCAAATTGTTAGAGATACTGGTAAGACATTGAAAAAATTGGGAAATTTAATATTAAGATATGTTTTGTTTCAGAAAAAAATCGGTATAATTTCTCAATACAAGTTGGAGTGCCGCATTCTTATGTACAATTGCAATACACTAGGAAATGGTTGTCTAGGGAAATGAAACTGAGACTTGCTGTTAAATTGGGTACTTTTGGAGGCGTGGTCGAGTATGGTGCCGAAAAAAAAGTATCCAAACACAGCAATTTATCGTTTTCAGTTGTATGTGGAGTTCCGGCAGGGGTCAAGCTAAAAATAAGGTATAAAAAGTTTCCAAAACTATTGGAAAGTATCAATATAATTTAAAGTTTTGATCCATTATTTGGGTTTTGGGGCATGCATGATTGGTAATAACGTTAAAGAAGGTCTTGTGGTAGCATTTTCCTTAATTTTTATTGGAAATTAAAATACACACTTACATTATATACAAATAAAATTACAAGTAGATGTTGCCAGAGTTTTACAATAATTCTCGATTTCAGGTTAACACGTGCCAACCAAGTCTATTCCTTCCCCATTCACCTGTGCGAAGAAATAATGCCATCACCAGTCTTCTACGCGACAATAGCGCCCATGTTGTTGTACATAGTGGTGAAAAAGGGCATCGTTGAGCCGTTTTTGAAGGAGGAAAAATCAAAAAAATTAGAAAAACAAAAGCAGAACAATTTCAATAAGCTGTTGGAAAAAAGAAGAGAGGCGATGGCAGCACAAGAACTAATGCAAGCCAGCTATTCTAGAATTAAAAGTGAAGAGGAAAAAAAGAAGGGTTTAATTATAGTAAAAGCCATTTATGGAAGAATCAATCCAGGTAAGGATTTTTATAGTTTTTTAACCAATCAAAAAAAAAATTATCTCTATTCAGATTCCGCACAAGATACAGAAACGTCAAACGACATAATAGACGTCACAATACCAATCCAATGTCTAGTGAAAGACAGCAAATTAGTAATTTATGAAAACTCGAAAAGCGATTTGCCTGGATTTTTCGATCCAGTATTGGGCGAGGACAAAGTGCTCCAAGTAATTTACAATTATCACGATCAGCCCTACGAAGTTACTATTAAAGATAAGGAAACTTTACGGTTACCGAAAACAGGTGAGGAGGATTTTTTTCGCAATTGTGGCAACATTGTAAAAGTTTTTTTTTTAGCGCATAGGACTAATGGAACGTGACGTAGCCAAACCAAAATCGCCGCCAATGCCTAGTTGATTAGAATTTATTAAAAATTTGAAAAAAAAAGAAGACTCTGTGGTGCGACAAGTTGTAGCTGTATTTGTTTTGCGTCATTCTCTCGAGTTGATGAACTTTGTACACATGTTTTTTTTTTGTTACAAAATAAACAAATTATTTATTTTACTTATACAACAATTAAATTGCCATGTTGTTGATTTGAGAGTGTTGTTTTAATAATTACTTAAGAAAAGCGGTTGACAGATAATGCATCAAATGTCAACTAGTTAGGCTCAAATTAAAATGTTTATTTGTCAAAAATAACTAGACTTTGGAAATAACCTAAATCTTTGTCTGTTCGCTACTACTACTATAACAACTGTATCAGTGCTAAGCACCCCTAAAGCAAAAATTAGCACTCCCATTCGGCATCCCACCATAGCACTGCCTACAGTGGCACTACCTAAAACTAATATAAAAAGTTAGTGCAACCAAATTATTTAATTTTTTTGTACTTACTCACGTCATCGATGACGTCATAATTTAGAAATTTTAGATTTTTCTATCACTTCTCCGCGATTCTAAATTCACTTTTCCGCGATTATAAACCCACTTTTCCGCAAATATTACCTCATTTTTCCGCGATTCTTATCTCACTTTTTCACGAATTCACACTCACTTTTTTTGAAATTTTTGACTCATTTTTTTTGCGATTTTTGACCCACTTTTTTGCAATTTTCTCCACTTTTTTGCGATTTTTGTCTCTTTACGATTTTTGACTGTCTTTTTTACGAATTTGTCCTTACTTTTTTTGCAATTTTAGCCTCACTTTTTTTGCGATTTCACCCTCACTTTTTTGCGATTTACCCTCACTCCTCGGCGATTACAAACTTATTTTTCCACTATTTCATCCTCATTTTCCCGCGATTGTTTCCCTACTTGCCGCGATTTTATCTTCACTTTTCCGCGAATTTGACCTCACTTTTTTTGTGATTTTTGAATAATTTTTTTTGCAATTTTTGACTCATTTTTTTGCGATTTTACCATCACTTACCGCGATTCTAAATCCACTTTTTCGCGATTGTAAACCCACTTTTCTGTAAATATTATCTCATTTTTCCGCAATTCTTGTCTCACTTTTTTTTTGCGATGTTATCCTCATTTTTCCGCGATTCCTATTTCATTCTCCGCGATTTTATCCTCACTTTTCGTGACTTTATCCTCATTTTTCCGTGAGTCTCATCTTACTTTTCCGCGAGTTTAAACTCACTTTTTTTGTCTCATATTTTTTTTACGATTTTTGACTCTTTTTTTTTGCAATTTTATCATCACTTTCCGCGATTTTATCCTCATTTTTACTCATTTCAAAATTACGAGAATAACGATAATTTTTGAAAAGTTACGAAAAATTTCGGGAATTACGCTAAAGTCCGTAAAATATGAAAAATTATGAGAATTGCAATCATTTACGAGAATTACGGAACATAACGAGAATCACGGAATAACAAAAAATTGCGGGAATTACAAAAATTATGGGAATTGCCAAATATTACACAAAAGAATTACGAAGTTACTGCAAAATTACGTCAATTATTTAAATATTATTAATTTTTGAAAAGTTACGAAAACTAACAAGACAAATTACGGGAATTACGAAAAATAATTTGAATTATAAAAATTTACGGAACCCAGTAAAATGACGTAAATTTACGGGAATTATGAGAAATTATAAAAATTACGGGAATTGAGAAAAATACGAAAAACCACGAAAATTACAAAAATTACGGGTATTACAAAATATTACGGGAAAGAATTACAAAGTTATTTCAAAATTACGTGAATTACCGTAATTCCCAAAATAACGGAAATCACAAGTTTTTGAAATTACGAAAATTACAATAACTTAGGGAGAATTAGAAAATTCCGAATTTTTTTGGAAATTAGGAAAATTGAAAATTAAATAATCGAAAATACAAATAATTACTGGAATTACGAAAACATCACGATGGAAAAAGCGCGAAAAATTGCGGGATTAACGAAAATTAACAAGTTTTCCAAAAATTGAAAAAAAATAGGGGGAATTAGAAAATAACAAGAATTATCTGAGAAATGACAGGAATTAAAAAAAATTGAAAATCCCCAAAAAAAATAAAGAATACGGAAATTACCAACTTTCGAAAATTTCAAAAATTTAGGGGGAATTATAAAACTAACGGAATTTTTTTGAGAAATTACGGAAATTAAAAAATTACGAAACTAATGGGAATTACAAAAATTTCGAGTTTTTCGAAAATTGTAAAAACTAAGGGGGTATTATGAAAATAACGAGAATATTCTGAGAAATGACAGAAATTACAAAATTTCGAAAATTCCCAAAATAAAATACGAAAATTACATGTTTTCGGAATTATCAAAATAACGAAGTTTTCTGAAAAATTATAGGAATTAAAAAATTACGGAAATCTGAAAACTACAAAAATTATTCAAAAATTATGAAAAATACGAAAAAATCACGGGAATTAAAAAAAATGTGACAATTTTCAAAAAATTACGAAAATAACGAGAATTACAAAAAGTTACGGAATTTACGAATTTTCCGAAAATTGCAAAAACTAAGGAGGAATTATGAAATTAACGAGAATTTTTTGAGAAATGACGAGAATTTGAGAATTTTCGAAAATTCCAAAAAAAAAAAAATACGGCAATTACCAATTTTTGAGAATCAAAACAAATTGGGGGCGAATTATAAGGATAACGGAGTTTTTTGAGAAATTCCAGGAATTACAAAATTACGAAAATTTGAGGAAATACAGGAAATATAAAAATTGAAAGAGATAAGGAAAAATCACGGGAATTGCGAAAAAATTACTATAATTTTTGGAAAGTTACGGGATTTATGAAAAAGTTACAGGAATTAGGAAAATTACGAGTTTTCCAAAAATTGCAATGACTAAGGAAGAATTATAGAAATAGGGAAAATTATCTGAGAAATTACAGAAATAATGAAAATTCACAAAAAAAAAAAAAAATTGAAAATGACGGGAATTACGAATTTTTGAAAGTAACAAAAACTTAGGGGGAATTATAAAATAAGTAACTGAATATTTTGAGAAATTACGGAAATTAAAAAATTACGAAAATCTGAGAAACAACAGGAATTATTCAAAAATTACGGGAATTACAGAAAAATTACGATGAATTTTGGAAAGTTACGAAAAATTAAGGAACTTACGAAAAAGTTATGGGAATTACGAAAATTACGAGTTTTGCGTATTGTTTTCCAACATTTTCAACCTCATTTTTCTGTAATTTTTACTTCTATTTTTTGTAATTCCAACGTCACTTCAGGGGCGTCGCGTCGGGGGGGTACTGGGGGTAATTAGCCCCCCTAGAATCGAATTATGAAGAGCAAAATCACGACGTCAAAAAGAAAATCCACAATATATTGAAGAAAATACATTTTTGTTTTGTTTTATTTTTCTCAAAAATGAAATAATTGTTCTGAAAAAGTGAATGACCTTGAAATTTGCAAAAAATTTCGCCTGAGGCGCGTTTTTGGAGGGTGCCCCCTCAGCTCCCCGTACCATTTACCCCCCCCCCCCCCAGACTACTGGTCACGCGTCGCCACTGCGTCACCTTCCTGCGATTTTGACACTCACTCTTTCGCAATTTTTGAAAAGTTACGGAAAATTGCAGGAATTACGAAAAATTACTGGAATTATAAAAATAAAGAGAATTACAAAAATTACAAAAATTATAGGAATTACGAAAATCACGAATTTTTGAAATTATGAAAATTACTAAACTTGGGGGGGAATTTAAAAATAATGAAGTTTTTTAAAAAATTAGGAGAATTAAAAATGGGTACAAGAAATTACGGGAATTATGAAAAAATTATGATTTTTGAAGTTATGGGAAAATTACGAAAAAGTTACGGGAGAATTACGAAAATTATGAGTTTTTCGAAAATGCAAAAACTAAGAAAGACTTTTTTAAGCAAAATTCATTTTCTCACATTTTATTTTTTTGCTAGAAAACTGGCAAAAGGATAATTGTGAAAATTTTCGAGAAAAAAGAGGAAAGTGAGTGAAGTGTTTCGAGTGGTTCAATGATTAGCCGCGTTACTTTTGTTTAACTATATTTATTGTTACATTAAGAACTTAGTTAATACTAAAATTAGTTTCATTAGAGCTGAGTTTCGCGAGCGGGAGCTTTTCAGTGGTAGGTGGTATTTCGATTATTTCGTGTACGCATAGCGTGTAGGGGCCCAAAACCGACTGTCATTCCTTGGTGGTGTTGCTTCCCACGTAATCTTTTTGTCTGCAGTGTTGCGCTGTTGTGCGCAACTTTCTAGATATGTCACACCCTCACCCTTACTTCTTGAACTACCCTAAGAGCGAGAAAATGGAATGAATAATTTTTCGACTACAAATCTAGCTCTCGGTAACACTTTTCTGCCAATATAAATCACAGACAACAAATAAATAATCTATGCTAACTTAATTAACAATCGCTTAGATCTTGAGTGGAGCTCGCAGAAAAATATTACTTTCAAGTCAATATTATTAAAAATCAACAGTTCAGCAACAACACAAAATTCTAAAACCTAGATAAATATTATAAACAAATAAATCAATCAATTTCATCTATTATGTAATCTTTGAGCCTTGTAGGTTTGGTTACTTGTCTGGTGCTCGTTCTAACTACTTTACTCGGGACATCCTTCCCCTTTTCCCTAATTTTCTGCTCGCTACGCTCACTCGTCTTTTGCTGCAGGGTGTTTTTCCCTTTGTCTGTAGCTTTCGCCCTGGGAGGACTACTGGGTCGTACATGTTGTGAATAACTAGAAGAAGAGTTAATATCAGAATCTAAATTTGACCTTTCATTATTATGAATATCAATAACTTGAGCAAAATATTGTTTTAAAGACTTATCATAAACGTCAATAGATTCTTGAATGACGGACTGACTGGGCTCGGTCGTTGGTTCCATGTGGGCTTGTGCTCTTTCTGGTGTCTTTGTCCCCTGTCCTTCTTCCACTTCCACGATTTCCTTCAAGTTTGGTGCCTTAGTTTCTTCAGCTGGTCTTCCTGCATATCTGGTCATACATTTTGCTGGCTCTAATTCCTGGTCTTTTTCCTTCTGGATCTCAATTGGCTCTTGATCGTTTTGGCTACGCCTGTGGATCTGATTTGTATGCCTTTTCCATACATTGCCCTCTGTGATTCTACACATGTAAGTAGATCTTCCCATCTTTCTTATTATACAAGCTGGCGTCCACT